ATTATTATTATTATTATTATTAACATTTCTATCCCGCCCTCCCAGCCAGGGCCGGCTCAGAGCAGCTTACATAAAATAGCATAAGAATGACAATAATGAAGCTTAAAATTAAGTATTATTATTATTACCAGAAGCACATTATTATTATTATTATTAATTATTTATTATTATTATTATTATTATTATTATTATTATTATTATTATTTCTATCCCGCCCTCCCAGTCAGGGCCGGCTCAGAGCAGCTTACATAAAATAGCATAAGAATGACAACAATAATGAAGGTTAAAATTAAGCAACATCAGTTAATACAAATAAACAGTGCTAAAACCATGAAACATAATAAAGTGCTAGTATCGATAATTTCACAGCGATGTTGTTACTTGGTTCTCTCGTCTCGCAGGTGGGCAGCGGTGTTGGTCTGAAGCAATAGCACAAAGTCCACTGGCTGGATATGGGCTTATACCCAGTTTATGCCCAGAATTAAACTTTGTTGGTCTTAAAGGTGCCACTGGACTCCAACTTTGTTCTAAAACCCTGAATGTGTCACCAGCTCAGCATCTCCAAACAGAGCAGTCCTAGTAGGAAGGCTCGGTGGCCAAGTGCTGCAGTTAATGTTTGGGGATCACAAATAACCTTTGTAACACATCCAAGAAAAGAGAGAGAGAGAGAAATATCTTACAGGTTGCTCAGTATTTTGTAGTTAAGTCAATCTGTGGGGGGCTCTGGTGATCTGAAGGGGTTCTTGACTGCTGCTCTTCGCCTTCTGGTGAGCTGTGGTGCTGGTTGTGCAAGGTCAGACTAGTGGTCCATTTGGCTTTGTCCTGTCACCCTTTGGTGCCAGTCGATCCTCGGGGTGTGTGTGTGTGTCAAGGTCTGTTCCAGTTCAGAATCCCAAAACTTGGCTTGAATGGGAAATGTTATGGATCACATTCGGGGCTGTGTGCTGTACCTCTGCGATATGCTTTACCTGTCTCTAGTGTCCTCGGAGAAGCCACCGTACCTGTCACCCAGAGGGCTGAACATCTTAGCTAGTACTGAAGCATTTAAGTGCCATTTGCCACTCGCCACTTCCTCGAGTAGCAAGAGGTCCGAAGGCGTGGCTCCCACAGGGTCATTTTTCTTCAGCTGGAGGGGGCAGTCTAAGGCTCGGATGTTCTTACGATAGGCTTGTAAATGAATTTGTTGAGCAAAGCTTGAGGGGCAGCAGCCAACAGATGGTGCTCACCTTTTCGAAGCAGCGTTCACGTCCCCTGAAAGCAAACAGTCTCCATCGCTGGCTAGCTGTTTTCTCTCCCAAGATCAGGCCTCACTCAAGCATGCGAGGTGTTTCCAGTCAGCAGTAGCCACTTGCAGTCAAAAGCCACTTAGCAAGGTTCTTCTAGCCATTAGTACCCATTAATGAAACCTCTTTAGCAATTAGCAGCACAGAAGTCTACAGATGGTGGTCTGGTGTTTTCTTCCATGTTTTCTTCTTCTTTTGAGTTCTGGACATGGTCGGCTTTTGCAGACTTTGAATGTACTTCTTTTTTAAAAAGCTGGTCTGTCGATCAACTACTGTCTGCAGGCTGGCAGTTCTTGGAATAGATTATTTGGTGGGGGGATATCTTTTGGTTTTTGTGATGCAGGAGGGTGTTTTTTCTTGTGTAGCTTTTATGGGGTTTTTTGGGGT